ACCAATAATGAATCCACATAATAACCCTAGGACATAGGTGTTTTACTCATTTTACAGAAAGAAATTATTGAAGATTCAAGAGATTAAGTGATTTTCTCAAGGTCACAGAGTTCAGTTCACTGCAGAACCAGAAACCTGAGTGTCTTAGCCTATCAGATTCTAGCCAAATATATCATAAGGCAACTATTTATTTTGAATGAAAGTTGCCAACAAAATACACTGGAAAAAGGATATTCTTACTGATAACTGTTGTTGCCATAACTAATCATATATTGTAGAAGAATTCAATTAGACCTTTACCTGTCACCAAATTCAAAAGTCAATTTAAAATGGATCAAAGACCTAAATATAAGACCTAATGTATCAAACTGCTAGAAGAAAACAGGGGAGACACTTTAAGACATTTCTTTAGGTGAAGACTTCTTATTTAAGATACCAAAAGTGCAGGCAACAAAAACAAAGCTTGACAAATGAAATTAGATCAAACTAGAGATAGCTAACAGAATGAGAGAAAATATTGTAAGGTACTTATCCAACAAAGGATTAATACACATAATATACTGTCAACTCAAAAAAAACTCAGTGACAACAACAAACCCAAGAGATCTGCACAGATAGCTTTTAAAAGAAAAAAATTTAAAAGCACTCCCACCCAAAAGTATGAAAATGCTCAATATTGCTAGTCATTATGGAAACACAAATCAAAACCAGAATGAGATAATATCTCACTCCTGTCACAGTGGCTATTATCTAAAAAAAGAAAGTGACAAATGCAGAAGATGTAGATAAAAGGAAACTCTTACAGACTTTTGGTTGAATTAGTGCAGTTACTGTAGAAAAGAATATGGAGGTTTTTTAATACGTACATACATTAGAAATAGAACTGTACATGATTAAGGAATCCCACTACTGGATATATCCAAAAGATTCAAACACACTGCATCAAACAGACACCTGCTCCATCATGTAGCAGCATCGTTATCAACAACTAAAATCTGAAATCAACTGAAGTGTCCATTATTAGGTGAATGGATCAAGAAAATGTGACACACAAACACATTTACATGATCGAGTAATATCCAGCCATGAAAAGATTAAAATTATATAATTTGCAACAAAATACATAGAACTGGAGGATATCATGTTGAGTAAAATCAGCCAAACATAGAAAGGCAAGAGCTGAATATTTCCTTATATATAAGAGCTAAAACAACAATCCCAGAATGTTGATTGATAGAGGTTTGAAGAGGTAGGAGGTACAAAAACAGCTCTGGTCAAAAAAGGGAGTACTTGAGTGTGTTGAATTAGCTGCAATAAATATGCAAACATGAGATGCTAACAGAACATGGAGTTAGGGCTGTATGAAAACTGTCATTATTTTTCAATTTTTGTTTTACAATGCAAACTACATGGAAACAAAAAAGAAAAATCAAATGGGAAACAAAAATATAGATTAGTTTTTTGGATATCAAAACATAAAATAAAGCACCCAAATTTTCTTAAAAATAAAAATACAGGAGATAAAAATAAAATGAGTCAAAAATACATTGGTATATTTTAATTCACCAGTTCTCCATCCTTGACAGATCAAAGCTATGGAAATGAAAGATTTCAATAACATAAGATTATAGCTATCACTATTTTTTCCCTTAAGTAACTTATTTGCCTACATATTTACCTTAAGTATGGTCTAACAAATTGCCCATTAAATATAAACTTATATAATTTATGAAAACTGTGATTATTTAATATTATTTCAAAGGAAAAATAAGCAACTGAATTTCAATATGTAAGAAATAATAAATGCAAATTGATTGAGCAAATATCATTAAAATTTGAAGATGAAAATGAAGTAAAAACAGAATAAAGACAAAATAGTGATTTCAATGTTAAAACAAAGTAAGACCTAATATTTTGGACTAGAAATTAAAACTTTGGATGTTTGCAAAATTTCTCTGAAGACACTTTGCTTAGAGAGAAAGAATACATGTAAAAGGAATATTTGGAGGGTAAATTATTTATTAGGGGGATTTTGAAGAAACATCTAAAAATGGCACCAATTATTTAAATTGATGAGCAAAAAGAACGTCAAAATCTACTAAAGGAAAAAGAAATCAGAAACAAGATTAAAAGTTAAACTTGAGAATACATTAGATCTCACGTAACAAAGTAGTGACCTCCTTAATGAACAAATTGCATATATTGAAAGTAAGAAGACAATTTTAGATAAAATTGGTGAAATTTATACATTGAAGTTTCACAAAAAATATTTCCATGGCTCTTAGGAAAATGGCTCTTAGGAAATAATGTTAAACACCACTTTTGTAAAAGATAAACAATAACTTCCACATTTCCTTTTTACCTATTAAACACAAAAATTAGAAAAAACGGTAAAAAATTTCCATACCATTTCCAGAATATAAAACTTTGGTAAATCTTCAAGAGAATTTGAGTTTGTCCAATTATTAGAAAGGCAGATACTCCCTGATATCAACTCTAATTTCAGAAATTTATCCTGATACTTACACACATTTAAAATAAGGCATATATGAGGTTAGTCACTGCAGAATTGTTTATAATGCCAGAATACTGGTAACAAAGTGTCCTCTAACAGGTGACCTGCGTAAGTGGATTACAGTACATGCACCAAAATAATACCTCACAAGTATAAAAAAGAACGAGTTGGTACTTTATAATGAACTGGAAAGACAAAGATACACTTTAAGGTAAATCAGGTTGATATGCTAGGCACATAAAATAGAAAGCTGAAAAGAGTAGATCTTTTCAGTTATAAACACAAATTGGTTTATAACATGTTTATACAAGTTTGGTGCGTAGATTATTTATAAACACAGATTGGAAGAATAAATAAGAAATTAATCAAGTTTCTTTTTTGGAAATGGAAGCAAAATGTAGGATCTAATGTGAAAGAGTTAAATTTTCTCTTAGTGTTGAATCATGTGGATGTATTATTATTCATCTATTATGAATAAGAATTTAATAAATGCAAATTTGAAATGGAATATTCAATTTATTTTATATTGATTATCTATGACCCTGGGAAAATATAATCAAAATAAACTTTTAAGAAGATTGATTCTGTAAAATAAAGTGAAAAATGAAAAATGAATTATAAAAGGGAGAAAAGGAAAACAAATATATCTACAAGTATACTTCAGATATTCTAGGTATGTGCTAATTAATGGATTAATATTAATGAAAATGCAAAAGAAAGGTTAAATTTATGAGCCCTTAAAATATCTGTGAAAACAATAAAGCATGATCATTAATTTTGAAGAAAAAATATATGACTATACATACATTCTAAATAGTCTGAACTTCTCAGGATAAAGACCTAATGACATTATGGCATAAAGATAAGAAATGTTGAACATTACACTAGATTGCTTTGTAAAGACATCATAAAATATTGATAAATATACATTATCCCCTGTAAAAAACTAATAGAAATAAGAAAAATAACAACTTTTAGATATCCCATTAATATATTTATAATGCAATATCAAAGATAGACCTAGTACTTTTGATGGTTCATAATTTTCTCATTGTTATATATTCAGTATAGACATAACCAAAATTGTCATATAAACAAAAATTAAAACCATACATAAATTATTCATTAGTACCACAAATCTAACATATCATCGACTCTTCAATAAATCTTATTTAAAGGGCCTGGCAGCGTGGCCTAGTGGCTAAAGTCCTTGCCTTGAATGTCCTGGGATCCCATATGGGCGACGGTTCTAATCCTGGCAGCCCCACTTCCCATCCAGCTTCCTGCTTGTGGCCTGGGAAAGCAGTTGAGGACGGACCAAAGCTTTGGGACCCTGCACCCGTGTGGGACACCCAGAAGTTCCTGGATCCTGGCTTCGGATTGGCATAGCATTGGCTGTTGCGCTCACTTGGGAAGTGAATCATCGGATGAAGATCTTCCTCTCTGTCTCTCCTCCTCTCTGTATATCTGACTTTCCAATAAATAAATAAATCTTAAAAAAATAAATCTTATTTATAAGATATTTATCTTCATATTTTAAATATTTTTTTTAAAAATTGTTTGCTTTGGGTTTGTGGCCCTGCTCCAGCAGATTTGGTCATTTATGGAGTGAACCAACAGGTGAAATACCTGTCTTTCTAGCTCTGCTCTTCTAATAAATATTTATGTTAAAAATGTTGCATGCTTTATCTAGATGTTTTACTGTACTCCCTATTATGTCAGAAGCTTTCTTCCTTTGTTTATACATATGAATGTCTCCAAATGGTGGCACAGCGGAGTAGTACCATTTTCTACTGCACCTATAGTATAATATTGCCCATTATCTCAGCCCTGACAATAAGATGGCATCATTTATGTACAACTCTGATTTGATACCCATTAAGCATTATATGAAATGATCACCCATTAAAATGTCTATAAAAGTACTGAATTTATGCGTCTGATCTTAATTTTGGGTATATATTGCAGCAAATGTATATATTTGCAATATGTTTTCAAAAATATTTTTAAGTTGTTTCTTTCCAATTGTTTTTTCTAGGTTTTTTTTTTAACTTTAAACAAAAGTTTTATTTTATATTTTCAATTTGAAAGACAGATTTACAGAGACAGAATGATCTTCCAAATGCTGGCTCACTCCGCAAAGGTCAGACCTGAGCAGATATGAAACCATGAGTCAGGATCTTCCTCCAGGTCTCCCTCTTGCGTGCAGGGTCCCAAGGCTTTGGGCTGTCCGACTGCTTTCCCAGGCACAAGCAGAGAGCTAGCTGGAAAGCAGAACAGCCAGGATACGAACTGGTACCCATACGGGATGGTAGAGCTTGTACAGACCCCTCTATTTGATTTTTGGAAGAAATATATTTGCACTTATACTTCCAAAACAGAATTAAAACTACTAAATTATTAATATGACACTAGAGTTATGTAAAATAAAACAAGAGTACTACATAGAATTACCATTATCACAAAAAATACTGTTCATATTTACCTGAAGTGGGAGACTTGCAGCGCTCCAGTTCCAGGGGGACGGGACTGTCATTCAGCTCAGTTAAACCTGAAAATGCAATCAGCAGTAAAATGAGATGGCTAGCACCAATGCTGAGTTTTTAATCCTCATAGGATTAAAAATGCTTCCTTCCTCTCAACCCCATGAAAATTACTTCCACGTCCATGTTAGGGCAACAATCCTGGAAGTGTTTAAGTAGGAAACAATAGGAAATAACAACTGGTTGATGTGTGCAGTGTAATTAAACATGTATGACTAGAAAATTCCTTTTTCATTATTTTTTGTATGAAATAGCTAACTTAATAAATGATCCGGTTTTAGCTGAAAAGAGATTAATAAATGGCCTTTTAAAAGACTAATCTACTCTACTTTCAGTAGATACATTCATTGGCTTTCATGGTATTTTTAAAGAGGTATTATAAATTAAATATTACAAATTTATAAAATACAGTGTTATATATATATATTATATACAAAACGATTTGTAAATGGTATGAAATTCCCTCCTATGACAAGCGTAACATATTTTCTTATTTCTAATATTTCTTTCTATTGGATGATTTTTCCAACAAGTTCAAGGATAGGCATTACAGAATATAAGAATTTTGTAATCCTTACCATGTATTAGATGGCATCCTTTGACATTTATAAAACGTTTTTCACCCTGGTTTTCCCTATACTTGTTGAAAAAATTTAGATACTTTTTACTTTGTGAATTAATATTGTTTCCATTTTAATGTAAATCCTCATAATCAGAAATATTTGAGAGTTATTGCCAAAGGCCACAAATTTCTTTGTTAATATTCATTCGTTATCTTCCTATCAATCCTTATATTTTAGAGATGAGAATTTTGAATTGAGTTTAAATTATTTAGTCCAGGTCACAGAACTAATGTATGGCAATGTTTGAAGAGACCCGACAATGCTTTAGCACAGTCATTCAGTGCTTAATGACAGATTGTCAACTTTGTCATTATACAAACATCATAAAGCATCCTTGAAAAATCATAATTTTATACTCTACCAAACACATAGGCTATAACAGGATGTACTTAGGGTACAAACTTGCATATGTGACTGTATTGGATACTATAGGTAATCATAATGGTAAACACTCTTGTATCCAAACTTAGAAAAGATACAATAAAGAAACTAGGAAAAGGTATTTTTCAGTTTTATTATAATTTTACCAGACTATTGTTGTATATGTTGTCTAAAGCAGCATATGGTTGTGCAGATTTTTTTTCATCCATGTTATCCTGCACTATCATTTAGGTTGCTTCTAGGGCTTGTGGCACCAACTGCAAAGGTTATTGTTTGTTTTATTCTTTCACTGTTAGTTTGAAAGAATTTTAATTCTATTATGACTTTCATTTTTTCTAGTTATAAACATGTATTTTATAATATTTACTGATGCAAATACTGCTATTATTCTGGAAATAGACATCATCAACCTAAACTATCTTTAATAGAGTCTTTATCTTAAACATATTAAATGGGCATGACAAAGTTTATTAACGCTTAGCCAATAAATATTAGTCAACAGAATTGCTATGCCCTACTCACCTCCCCCCATTACTCCTTGAAAGTTTATTCACTTAAAAAGCTTTTTCATTTGACAACCAACTAGAAGCAACAGGTTATAAAGAAAAGTATACTATTGGAAGCAGAAATATTAATAAAAATAACTGAATAACAGACAACGAACAACAAGAACTAGAATGACTACTGAATAAACCTGGGACCATTTAACAGAGGGAAATAACCTACAGTTCTCTGAAAGATGTTGAGGAAATCATTGCAAGTTGAGTCAAATTTCTTCAATGCCTAATGTGACACATGTTCATTGTAGTAACAGTAATAAGAACAACTAATGATTATTTTTACATAATACTCTGCTAAATCCTTTACATGATTTATCTCTTTCACATTTAAGAACGCTGTGAGAAAGGCTATATTGTTAAACTCATGCTACAAATAAAAAAACAGAGGCAGATGGACTTTCACATGAGTATTCTCAAGGTTATACAGCTAGTAGGTCAACTGAGATGAAGTTAACTAAGATATTTAACAACAAGAAAGTATAAAGTATAAGCTAGAAAGAATTCTATCAAAATATTGAAAGATTTCTAAGAACTAAGCTTCCTTTACCTGAAAAACAACATATTTTCTGTTTCTTGTCTATTGAAACCGTTGCTTTCTCTAGTTCGTTCCGAATTCACTTGCTTTCCTGATCAATGTTGATCTAATAATATTAAAGCCATTTCTAAGGTTCAATTTACAATATATCCAATGCCAACATTAAATATTTTATAATACTTTTATTACTTCTTGAAACCATTATTAACACGTTTCCCTAGAACTAATGAGTCTCTGTAGAAAATTTCAAAGGTAAAAAACATGAAAGAATAAGTATTTGTCTAATTTTTTCAATTGAACTACTTGTCATGCACTGTTATTTAGTTGTAGCAATTCTTTATACACTATTCAGGAAGGTATAGGTACTGTGAACAATAAATCAGAAGTAGGTATTATGAATGATTTTTCATACCATATAATTTATCTTTTTCTTAACGCTGTCTTTGATAAGCACAAAATTAACTTGAATAATTATTTTTCTCTAATTGTTTCTTTTTGACTCCAGTCTAAGTAATCATCACCAGCTGCATGATCATGAAGTTAACATTTTTTGTTTTATTCCAGAAGCTTTTAACATTTCATCTCATTTTTATGTAATTCGTCCCAAGTTAACTTTTGGTTATTACATGCAATTGGGGTAAGAGCACATCGCAACCACATTTCCCTGCTTCCCCCTCTTCCGTCATTCCATTCTTCATTGATTTTTACTAGTGACTTGATTAAAAATCTATTTACCATATATAAGTGGGACTATTTCTGGACTGCCTGTTTTGTAATCATTATTTTTATCTTATTGACTATCACAAGATCATAATTAATGTAATTTTATAGCCCATCTTGAAATCATGTAATGAACTTCTTCATCTTCTTATTCTTTTCCAAAAGTATTTAGTTATTCTAGGTCCTTTGCAATTGCATGTAAATTCTAAAATAGCTTCACCTAGGTTGGTATAATAAAAATTAGAAGTATTTCACCTTTCAACCCATAAACATGGTATCTTCCTCCATTTAAAGTTTTTCTGCACTGCAAGTCTTTTATATGTTATTTTTCAAGATTTATATATTTTTTTTCTATCCATTGTAGGAATTTAGGAAGGGTACTAAAATTTCAAGCAATTATTACTGAATTATTTATTTATTTATCTCTGATTTTATTAGGTATTGCTTCAAGTATTCTGTACCTTATTAGTGAATATGTCTATGATTGTTATATTTTATTTACTGGTGGTGCTTTTATCATTATAAAATCTCTATTTACTTCATAATCTATCTTATTTCTATTAACAGATTATACTTACCATTTTTCCTTTTAGTTTTCTATTTATCTCACCTTTTTTTGCTCTTTTTGTGTGGTTTTTTTTTTTTTGCTTGATATTAAGAGTATTTTCTAGTGTAACATTTGAATACCTTTAAAATCACTTTAGTAAACCTTTAACTGTATTATCTAGAGTTTTTCTGGTGTTTTCTCCAGGACTTATCACACACATTTTATCTGAATCCTGATCTAAGTTATCTTAGTTGTATCTTATCTTATATAGTTGCATTTCTTCTTTGTGCTTTTCCAGATATATTTATCACACATATATGCTACAGACACAATAAATCATTGTTCTAATTACCAGTTTACACAATTTTGTATCTTTAAATAAAGTTAGAGTTTCAGGCCTGGCGAGGTGGCGCAAGTGGTTAAAGGTCCTCGCCTTGCACGCCCGGGATCCCATGTGGGCGCCGGTTCTAATCCCAGCAGCCCCGCTTCCCTTCCAGCTCCCTGCCTGTGGCCTGGGAAAGCAGTCAAGGACGGCCCAAAGCTTTGGGACCCTGCACCCGTGTGGGAGACCCTGAAGAGGCTCCTGGCTTCGGATCGGCATAGTATCGGCCCGTTGCGCTCACTTGGGGAGTGAATCATCGGACAGAAGATCTTCCTCTCTGTCTCTCCTCTCTGTATATCCGCCTTTCCAATAAAAAAAAAATAATAAAAATAAATCTTTAAAAAAAAAAGTTAGAGTTTCACATTCTAATTTAACATTGTCCTAAAGCAGCCAAGTTACTGTTTATTCAAGCACAATTTTGCTTTCCCTATGTCCTGTTTGCTATCCAAACATTTGTATCACTTCTCTGTATAATACACCCCTAGTTAACAATTACATATATTTTGTTTTATAAATTGCTTTAAAAACATTTAAGGGAGGCAATAAGCACTTATATTATCTTGCATAATTACATTCTTATCTTAAACATGCTCTTTGTTTGTTTAAATGCAGATTGTCATGTGGAATCTTTTTAGCCTTCCAATTTTTCTTTAGTATTTCTTAGAAAGTTGCTCTGCTAGCAGCAATTTTTTTTTAAATCTAGGAATACCTATTTTACTTGAATTTTTGAAAGACAGATTTTATAAGATTTGAGGTTTAAGTTTTTCCTTGATGACTCTGAACATATTATCTCACTCCCCATTGGTCTCCATAGTTTCTGATGAGCTGTTAATTGTACTAGACTTCCTTTATATGTGACAAGTCAATTTTCTTTTAGTATTTTAGATTTTCTCATAGTCTTTGTCTTTCAGATTATTTATAATGATGTGTGTGGACAGTTTTACATTTATTCTTACTGGAGTTCATTAAGCTTACTGTGTGAGTATTAATTATTTTTATTAAATTGGGGAAGGTTTAAGTTCTTTTCTGTTCAAAATTATTTTTTCTTCTTTATCCTGCTTTGTTGTTGATAATATTTTTAGGTTCAAGGTGATATGTCTTAGTTTTTCCTCCTCTGTTATTTCCTAGTATGTTCTTTCTTATTTCTGTCAATTATAATTTGTTGAGTTTAGTGAATGTATCTACTTTTTTTAGTATGTTCTTTCTTATTTCTGTCAATTATAATTTGTTGAGTTTAGTGAATGTATCTCTTCACATATG